TTTAATAATAATAATAATAATCTTTATTGGTTTCAAAGACATAAAAGGCATAAAACAAGTCAAAAGAAATTTGAACATAGATTAGACAAACAATACATGTACTTTAAAATGCTATAAGGAGCAAATAGAGTTCACTACGAAGATAAGAACTCGTCCATTGTATAAAATGAGTTATCCAGTAAGTATTCAGCGTTTTTCTGAATCTGAAGTAAGATACCTCTTGATCGATTTTTGTCAATAGGTGATTGTAAACCATAATTACATTGGAAATAGGGCCATATATTTAACTGATTTTGGGGTGTATAAAGATGATGACTAATTCTTGTTGCGTAATTGTGGATGTGGGACAGGGAATTTTGTTTCTGTTTTTATGTATATAACAGGAAACTTTCAATACATATATGCAGAAAAGTGGGAGTATATTCAATTTTTTAAAAAGATGTTTGCATGATTCTCTCTGATTTTTATTTATATGCTGTGATATACCATATATACTACCTTAAACTATACAATTAAAGCACAGTATTCCGTAATTGAGTTTTAAAATGATGCAAGGAGATGTTAAACATCTCAAGATCAGCGTTACTATTGGCTAATCGTAAGATTCTTGGAATGCAGCTATTGAATGTGTGGTTCAAACAATAAAATGGTACATAAAATTTTTGTTGCTGTCGAGTTGAACGGTTTTCGAACATGTAGATTTGTCAGGTCTCTCTATTTCTTCCATAGTTTCCATGGAGAACATGCTAAGAGATTGCTGAAGCAACTCATACTCGCAACGAACATATTTTTTTTGGACATGGACATATTTTTTTTGGCAACACTGATTTTGACAGATCACGCGTGAGTTGTGTCTTGTGTCATTGTCAAACTTGTTCAGTTTGGTTTATAATTTAACCATGAATCGACTTACGAATGAACAACGCTTGCAAATTATTGAATTTTATTATCAAAATTCATGCTCGGTGAAGAAAGTGCATCGTGCACTTCTTTCAATTTATGGGCAGTTTCGTCGGCTTACTGAGGAAGCTATTCGGAAGCTTGTAACTAAATTTCGAACCCAGTTTACATTATTAAACCACCAACACGTAAAGGTAGAGTGAGGACCGAAGACAATATTGCGGCTGTATCCGCCAGTGTTTGTGATGACCGTGAAATGTCGATTCGCCGCCGTTCGCAGCAATTGAGCCTCTGTTATTCCACTACGTGGAAAATTTTGCGAAAGGATTCGGGTGTAAAACCTTGTAAGATACAGCTGGTGCAAGAATTGAAGCCACACGACCTCCCACAACGTCTAACATTTGGTGAATGGACGCTGGCAAAATTGGAGGAAGATCCACATTTTTATCGAAAAATTGTCTTCGGCGACGAGGTTCATTTCTAGTTGAATGGATACGTTTACAAGCAAAATTGCCGCATCTGGAGTGAAAACCAGCCACAAGCATTGCAAGAGCTACCGTGTGATGATTGACGACTTTTTGTTGCCCAAAACGGAAGAATTGGATATGCCTGACATGTGATTTCAACAAGACGGTGTCACATGCCACACGGCACGCGAAACAATGCCACAATTAAGAGCCGTCTTCGGTGAACAGTTTATCTCACGTTTGGGGTCCGTCAATTGGCCGCCTAGATCGTGTGATTTAATGCCTTTGGATTATTTCTTGTGGGGTCATGTCAAGTTAAGGAATAAACCAGCAACGACTGACGCTTTGGAAGCCAATATTGAAGCATTTATTCATGAAATACCGGTCGATATGTTAGAGAGAGTGTGCCAAAATTGGACCTTGCGCTTGGGCCATCGAAAGCGGAGCCGCAGACAACATTTGCATGAAATCATCTTCAAACATTAAAGTATATTGATCGTTTCATCGATTCCGATAAGGTTTTCATCGATTTTTTCAAATTTTTTGTGTTGTTTTGAAGATCAAATCCTATACCTCTTAAAAAATCACCCGTTTTAAGTTACACAATGAGGGGACCAGACAGAAGAACAATACTCCAGGTGTGGACGGACCAGTGAACAATAAAAGGCTTTAATAGCAGTTGGGTCAGTGAATGAACCCTAGCCCTAGCATTTTCATGGCTTTATCGATAGCCAAGGGTATATGTAGATTGAAGCTCAAGGTGGGATCAAGAATAATCCCAAAGTCTTTTATTTGATTAACAGACTCCAAGACATGACCATTTAAAGTGTAATCAAAAGTGGTAGAAGCACATGATATGGCACTTTGTGGCTATGCCATTTAAGGAGCACCAGTTTGATTGATTGTCAAGGTCAGACTGAAGCCTATGGACATCCAATGAGGTTTTAATAACTAGGAAAGTTTCAAATCATCTGCAAATATTAGTGCCTTGGCGTGCCGGAAGCAATAATGTCATTAATAAATAAATTGAACAATAAGGGACCGAGGTGTGACCCCTGAGGAACACCAGAGGTTACTTCGAATAACGTGGAGTAGTGATAATTTGCTCTAACCATTTGAGTCCTATTCGTAAGAAAACTACTAATCCATTCCAGTAGTAACCCACCTACACCATAATAAAAAATTTTTAGTACGGAAAAGTTGAGAACTCTTCGTAGGTATTTCAGTTGGTATATTTTGCTGTTCANTTTGAGTCTAGAAAGTGTATTAACCGATCTTTCAAACATTTTTCAAATAATTTTCCAAAATTATTGATAACACTAATGGGTCTGTAGTTACATATATCAGTTTTATCCCCAGATTTATATATGGGTGATACAACTGATGATTTAAATTGCACTGGAACGATGTTTGTTTGGAATATGAGATTGAATATATGTACTAAAGGTGTGAGAATATTTAAATGAATTTTTTTTAATATATCAGTTTTGATTCCATCAATGCCTGGTGAACTACTATTTTTTAAAGAAGAAATGTGTTTGATTAATTCATTTTCTGTTACTGGAGTTAGAAACATGCTATTTGTATTAGTCAATATATTTTCAGTAATGTCAGGATCACCTGTGATATTTTTATGCATATTAAGTCCAATATTGATAAAATAATTGTTACAAAAGTCTGCCATTATTTTTTTATCACTAATAAAATCTCCATTTTCATCAGTAAGTTTAATATTATTTTCTTTCACTGTCTTTGTGTTTGTAGCGTCTGCGATTAAATTGTAAATTTTTTTCATATTATTTTTACAGTCATGGATATGTTTACGGTAATATTCATTTTTAGATTTTTTTAATAGTTTATTCAGTTTATTTCTGTAAGATTTGTATTCCTGCTCTAATTCAGGAGAAAAATTGTTCAGTAGCCTCATTTCAGTTGGTATATTTTGCTGTTCATTTTGGACATTGACTATGTAATACAGCTTACCTGATATGGAGGCAAAACGTCGCTGGTACTGTTGTCAGGCATTACAACACTTGGATCGGAACTCGCTTTAGCTAACCTTCCACCATTTCCCCCATTTCCATTGAGGGCCGGAGAAGTAGGGGGCCCAGGGCTGTGCTCCAAATCACTTTCCGGCGAGCTGGCGTAAGACAATCTCAAAGATGACATTGGGAAAAGGAAATCGTCTGATAATGATTCTTCGGGCTGTAATGAATACTCAGTTGACGTGATGATGCAGACGACACAGAAGGACATATAGTATAGTTAGTAGAAAGGTAAGCAGTGCTAAATTAGAAATCCTATTATTAGAATAGCATAGGTAATAACCTTTAAATTTTCAAGGACAGTGACATGGAAGTTTTTGTCAGTGAAACGAAATAACGATACTGTGTTGGAAAACATATCATGCAAATATCTTATTAATTCTTTACTATGCCAACACCACAGACACATGTATTTCAATTCTGGAATCTTCGTGCCACAATAATAAAGGATTTCTGGGTACTTCAAACTATAATAAGCGGCACATAACAATTATAAATTTACTTCTTCCTATCCGTGAATCAGGCCTAACGAAAATTCACTACTTTACGAGAACAGAAACCCTACAATCACATTCCCTTGGAATTTAGGAATATTACTTCATTTACTCGCAAAACATTCAGGAAATTTGTCAAAAAGTCTCTTCACAAAAAAGCGTACTATACCCACCCAAAATTTAACAATGAAGCTCTGGTGATATATTTAATATTTTGACCATGCATTCAATGGTATATATACAAGAATTTTTATACAGTGTGTAAAACCCAAATGGAATAAATTCATGGTTTCGGTTACTGTACATATTTATATTTCGAAGTGGCATCATTTCGAAGTAGTGCCAAATAATTATCGTCATTCATGTCCTATGTAAGCCTAAAAACGAAGTATATCAACAAGTCAATACAATGCATGCAAAAAGAAAAGAAAAATAATTAATATATGCATAGAGCCGAGGTTTTCTTGAAGGGAATGATGTTCGACTAAGGCATTTCCATACAGTTTAGTATCATCGGCATAAAACGACTTGCTGGACTTTATGTGAAGAGTAAGATCACTTGCATAAACAACGAAGAGGAACGGACCAAGAACAGATCCCTGGGGAACTCCACTTGTGACTTGTCTGTGCGAAGAAAAAGAGTGATCCACTTTGACCGAGAAAGTTCTATCTGTCATGTAATTTTCTATCCACAGGTTTAGTTGACCACGAATACCGTGTGTGTCAATTAATGAGTGTTAAATTTTTTTGGTTTGGAGGTTAGGAGCAAACTATTGATAGTACGATGGGGAACTATTTATATTTTGGGAACACTAATGCCGATAGGTAAGATGTGGCAACAGCATAATAAAGTTTGACACTCAACATGACCGTGCTCACAAATTTTTAATGTACAAGTACTATTTGTTTTGTTTACAATAAGTTATGAAAATCAATTTGACCTAAAAAACGGAAATTCCAAGAGAAGGTTTTCGTTGGATTATTTTTCACAACTTTCAAAATGGATTATCTCAACACGAATGTATCAATGAACTTAGATTTTGGTATGGCGATAAAGCACCATCAAAAACCACAGTATATCTCTGGTATAGCGAGTTCAATCATGGTCATAATTCGGTGGCCAACAAATTCCGTGAAGGTCGTTCAAAATCGGTTATTGTGCTACAAAACATCGATGTAGTGCATTAACTGAAGATGCAAGATCGTCATGTGACGTATTGTGAGATAGAGGCACCCTTGCACATTAATTCCACTTCAAAACATACGATTTTGCATCGACACTTAGTTGTAAAAAAAATTGTTCTTGTTGGATACCCCATAATTTATCAAACACTCAAAAAAAGGCTCGCATCAAGTGGTGTAAGGAAATGATAAAAAAGTTCGACCGTGGTGCTTCAAAATACGTGCATAAAATCGTGACAGGTATGCGTATGAGCCGGAAACAAAACAGCAATCGACCGTGTGGGTATTCCAACACGAGCTAAATCCAACAAAAGTTGTTCTTGGAAGAGGCACAGTGAAGCAAATGGTCACCTGTTCAGCCGAATGGGTCATTAATTTCTCTAAACGAGCCTGAAATGTGTGCCTATGCAAAACGTCAACAAGCTGAGTTCATTTCCGATAGCACATTTAACTAAAGTCAAAGAAGAATATGCTACTGTAGCTTCTGTTATGGAAAAAATCCAATACTACGATCATAAGAGGCTCATATGTTTAGATCTGAAATCTTCTAAAGGATTAAATCTTTCACAATGTTGAAATTTTGTCACCGAATCTTGATAACTGTACGAACTTTGAAACAAATCTGTCCGTTTAGTTACTCAAAATCAAGCCCAAAGGAGTTGGTTACAAACAAATATACAAGTGAAGCTAATAAAAGCGTGTTAAAAACAGATCAAACTTTTGAAACAACCAATAAATGTTCTGGTATTTTGGAAAAAAATTCCCTCAGCTACAATTAATATTAATTATTAGTTTTGATTAACTATCCTAACAAAATTCTCATTAACACTTTTTCAGAGGGATACATTGTTAGGGTTTTGAAGATTATACCTCCCCAAAAACCTCCTCCTGAATAGTCAGGTATCTAACATCAATCTTGCTAGTATTTACATCATTTGCACTCGTCTCATAATTTTGATGAACATCATAATAAATGGGTTCCCCCTGTTTTTGATCACTATTCTTAAGGGTATCATTATTATTATTATTGTCGAATGCATGCCGCACATAACTACCTCCCAAATATTTAGTTTCATCATGCACACCCAGGTTAGTGGAAGCATAACTGTTTTCAACGATATCAGCGGCAAAAACATCATAATTACACACACTACTTGCATTTCGATGATTTTCTGAAAAGATACTACTCTGACTCTGTACGGGCGTTAAGTAGGAATAATGTTGTTCGTATGATGTGTACGGGAACATGAAAGGGGAGGTACGATGGATGAATTGGGGAGAACTGTACATGGAGAGAGCAGCTTTTCTTGTGCGACTTCTCGAAGGACGGTTTCTTTGAGGAAGGGAATTGGTCGATCTGGGCTGAAGGAAAATTGGTGGGAAATATATGTCGGAAAAGAAGTTGTGTCCCTGCAAAAAAAAGCAAAAAACAAGAGTTGAAGCAGTCCACCACCACAACAGATATAAAATAATAGATGAAAAAAAGTTAGATTTTTTCATTGTCAAGTGCTGTACATTTTTTTAAAGAAATAAATGAAACATATATGAATGTAAACATCACTTAATTTTTTAAACGAGTCAACTCAAAAAATTTAAATTTGGGATAATGAAATTAATACATGAATACTTAATTTTGAAGTGAAATTGACAAATGAAACTTTCAAGATGGCGACTGGGCTCCATCTGAGAAAAAAAATTAAACGGAGGGGAGGTCTTGTGACACATCTTTTTGGAGCTCCTGACAAATGCTTCACAACCCTAGAATATGAAGTCAATATCTTCACCTACTACAAAATGGCGGAACATTTTATAATTTCCTGAAGACAAACACATTAATTGATGAAAGAACTGCTTTCTTTTGGGTATCACTGTTTGTTGAAAGTGAGAAAGATACTTCAAGTTTATTTCCTTGTAATTCGTTTATTATCCCAATACTTGATATATATTTCTTACATTGAC